CAAGTAATAGCCCAGTATGAATTGTCTGAGGCCGGGGGAGGGCCTGTCCTCCAGGGGACTGCAGCTCCTCTATCCAAAACTTCTCTGGATTCTGGCAGGGGAGGGGAGAGAGAAAGAGATAGAGGGATTAATAGACACAGGAGGATCAAAGGTGAGGGTTTTTTTTTTTGTTTTTTTTGAGACAGAGTCTCACCCTGTCGCCGGGGCTGGAGTACAATGGTGTAATCTCAGCTCACTGCAACCTCTGCCTTCCGGATTCAAGTGATTCTCCTGCTTCAGCCTCCTGAGTAGCTGGGATTACAAGCGTGTGCCACCGCGCCCGGCTAATTTTTTCTATCTTTAGTAGAGACGGGCTTTCATCATGCTGGCCAGGCTGGTCTTGAACTCCTTACCTGGTAGTCCGCCTGCCTCGGCCTCCCAGTGTGCTGGGATTATGGGTGTAAGCCACCGCAAAGGAAGACTTTTTTTAGGTCTAGAACTAGAACAAATCACTTCCTCCCACACCCCACTGGCCAGGCTCGGTCCCTGAGCCCCAGCTCACTGCAAGGGAGGCTGGGAAGCGGAGCCTAGCTGTATCCGGGAGGAAAGTGCACGCGGAGGCCTGGGGATGCATTCCCCCAGATTTCCCTCCTACGCGCTCCCACAGACCACGAGGTGTTACGTGGAGGATGCAAAGGAAGATTGTTCTCCGCATAGCCCACTCCCTGCCGCTCCACCTGAGGCGTTCTGGGCTAGGACCCTTGGCAAAAGAACAAACCCACTCCAACTCCTGTCACCTGGGGTGGGAGACTCTGTGTGTGGGGGCTGTGCCCTTCCACATTGTGCTCCCCTTCCCTGGCTGTTAAACATTCCAGAGGCACGAGGGTGGAGAGAGCCCTGGCCCCCTCCCCTGGCCCTACCCCACTGGCCTGGGCTGCCCGCCTCAGGGTTCCTATGTCTGGCCTGGCCTTTAGGGCATCTGGGATGCTCAGTAAATGTTTGTTGAATGAATAAAAGAAGGAAAGCAGAATGAGGAGGCAGAAGAGACCTGGGCAGTACGTGCCGGGCAGATGGATGCCGTCTCATGAATGAAACTGCTGTACGCAGCTGCTCCTTACAAGCTGGATCTGTGACGTCTGGCTTTGGCTGGGGATGCAGTTTTTTTCTTTATATATGCTTTTCAAGTTTTAACTGAATTCATTTATTTGGGTGCAGGAGATACATTCACGCCATACAAAAGGGTCTATAGAGAAAAGCGTCCTTCCTACCCCTTCCTCACCTGGCTCACCTCCCTGAGACAAGCAGTGTTCCTAATTTCTTGCAAAGCTTCCAGAATATCCGATGCTTAACAGATGTTGGCTATTGTGCTCATGGTTGTGGCTGTTGCGTTCGGTATCCTGTCCTGCTGCCAGACAGCCTTAGTCTAGGGGAGCGGGCAGGGCAGTGTGGAAGGAACGGGCCCTCACAGCAAGCCTGTGGGCGTGGCCACGTTAAGTGGGTGTTATGCGCACCTTCTTGTCCGATTCTGCCCCTTCATTTTATAGGTGTGCAGGCTGAAGCCCAGGGAGGCCTGGGGCACAGCCTCGATCTCCAGTCCTGCTTCTCCTGGTGGTACTGCTCCACGCTTCTCCTTTTCCAGTGCCGGCTTTGCATATGGGAGTTGAGCCTGATTCTTTTTTTAGAACCTTGAATTCCGCTTTCTCTTGTCTGCAGACCTGCCCTCCCTGCTCTTCTCTCTCCCCTGAGAGAGGCGGCAGGCCGGGCACAGTGGCTCATGCCTGTAATCCCAGCACTTTGGGAGGCCGAGGCAGGCAGATCACCTGAGGTCAGGAGTTTGAGACCAGCCTGGCCAACATGGGGAAATCCCGTTTCTACTAAAAACACAAAAAATTAGCTGGGCATGGTGGTGCATGTAATCTCAGCTATCTGGGAGGCTGAGGCAGGAGAATTGCTTGAACCTGAAGGTGAAGGTTGCAGTGAGCTGAGATGGTGCTACTGCACTCCAGCCTGGGTAACAAGAGCAAAACTCCTTCTCGGAAGGAAAAAAAAAAAAAAAAAAAAAAGCCCTGAGCTGAGCTCCCACACCACCCTTCCCCCCACCAGAAAATGGGGGAAAGGGTTAGGAACCATGACTTGAGAGGAAGATGCAGGTTCTAGAATGTTTAATAAGTGGCCATCAAACTGTTCACAAAGTCCTGATAGTCATCTCTAGGAAGTGCTAGCAAGAGCACACAGACAAGGGAAAAAAGGAAAGGGCAGCCAAATTGGAATGCCTAAAGACTCCACCAAAAACTATTAGAACAGATACATTCAGTTAAGTTACAGAATAAAAAATCAGCCTACAAAAATTGGTAGCATTTCTATGCACCAACAGCAAACAATCTGAAAAAGAAATCAAGAAAATAACTCCATTTGCAATAGCTACAAATAAAATAAAATACCTAGGAATAAAAGTAACCAAACAAGTGAACAATCTCTACAATGAAAGCTATAAAACGTTGCTGCAAGAAATTGAAGAGGACACAAGAAATAAAAAGATATTCCATGTTCGGGGATTGGAAGAATCAATATTATTTCTTCCGCCCTTCCCTCTGCCCTAGACCAAGGCTGTCTGATGGAGACAGGTCCACACTACCCAAAGAAATATATAGATTCAATGTTATCCCTATCAAATTACCAATGACATTCTTCAAAGAAGGAGAAAAAATAATCGTCAAATTTATATGGAACCATAAAAGACATAGAGCAGCCAAAGCTATTCTAAGCAAAAAGAACAAAGCTGGATGAATCACATTATCTGACTTCAAATTATACCACAGAGCTACAGTAACCAAAACAGCATGGCACTAGCATAAAAACAGGCACACTGACCAATGAACCAGAATAGGGAACCCGGAAACAAATCTACTTACCTACAGTGAACTCATTTGCAACAAAGGTGCCAAGAGCATACCTTTGGGGAAAGGAGGAGAATGTTTTCAATAAATGGTGCTGGGAAAACTGGATATCCATATGCAGAAGAATGAAACTAGACCTCCATCTCTCTTCATATACAAAAATCAAATCCAAATGGATTAAAGACTTAAATCTGAGACCTCAAACTATGAAACTACTAGAAGGCAAAATTGGGGGAAACTCGTTAGGACATGGAACTGGGCAAAAATTTATTGAGCAACACCCCACAAGTACAGGCAACCAAAGCAGAAATGACAGATGGGATGACATCAAGTTAAAAGGCTTCTGCACAGCAAAGGATACAATCAGCAAAGTGAAGAGTCAACCCACAGAATGGGAGAAAACATTTTCAAGCTAGCTATCTGACGAGGGATTAATAACCAGAATAGATAAGGAGCTCAAACATCTTCATAGGAAAAAAATATAACAAACCCATGAAAAATCAGAACAATCTAAATAGACAGTTCTCAAAAGAAAACATGCAAATGGCAGCCAGGTCTATGAAAAGGTGCTCTACATCATTGATCATCAGAGAAATGCACATCAAACCTGCAATGAGTTGTCTCATCTCAGTTAAAATGGCTTTTGTCTAAAAGATAGGCAATCATGAATACTGGTGAGCATGTGGAGAAAAGGGGACCCTTGTAACACTGTTGGTGGGACTGTAAATTAGTACAACCACTGTAAAGAACAGTTTGGAGATTCCTCAAAGCACTAAAAATAGAGTTTTGTCTTTTGTCAAATTTATACAGAACCACAAAAGACACAGAGCAGCCAAAGCTATTCTAAGCAAAAAGAACGAAGCTGGACGAATCACATTATCTGACTTCAAATTATATCACAGAGCTACAGTAACCAAAACAGCATGGCACTAGCATAAAAACAGGCACACTGACCAATGAACCAGAATAGGGAACCTGGTTCTAAAAATAGAACTACCATATGATCCAGCAATCCCACTGCTGAGTATGCACCCAGAAGAAAGGACATTGGTATCTGGAAGAGACATCTGCACCCCAACGTTTGTTCCCGCACTGTCCACAATACCCAGGGTTTGGAATCAACCTAAGTACCCATCAACAGATGACTGAATAAAGAAAATGTGGTACATATATGCAATGGAGTATTATTCAGCCATGAAAAAGAGTGAGATCCTATCTTTGCAACAACATGTTCGAAACTGGAGGCCATTATATTAAATGAAACGAACCAGGCACAGAAAGACAAACTTCACATGTGCTCACTTATTTTTGGGAGCTAAAAATTAAAACAGTTGAAATCATAGAGATGGGAAGGGCAATGGGGGCGAGGGGGAGTGAAGATGCTTGTCTCGTACAAAAATAGAGTTAGAATGAATAAGATCTAGTATCTGACAGCAGAGCAGGGTGACTTTAGTCAACAATAATTTATTGTACATTTAAAAATAACTAAAAGCATAATTGGATTGTTTGTAACAAAAAGAAAAGATAAATGCTTGAGGTGATGGATACTCCATTTGCCCTGATGTGATTATTACACATTGTATTCCTGTATCAAAATAGCTCTTGTAGCTCATGAATATAGACATTTACCACATACCCATGAAATCAAAAATTAAAAAAAAAAAAAACCAGTCATCTCTGAATGCTAAATGGAGTAAGGGGCTTCCTGGAAGGCAGGGCGAAAAGGGAATCTCCAAAGGATGGTGTGTTGCAGGCTGGGAGGAGGGTGAGGCGCTGGGGTCACCTAGAGGGACGGGCTTGTGTGAAGCCTACGTGTTAGTGGGTATGTGTGTGACCGGATGGCGGTGCCAGAAGTGTGGGGTGGCCTGTGGGAGTTGGTGTGGGGGTGATGTAGGAGGGGAGAGAGGGAGGGTCTAGGTTCCCTTGGCTTCTGTGTGCAGCTAGGCCCCTATTTGAGAGTGAGTGTGTGTGCCTGTGTGTGTGTGTGTGTGTGTGTGTGTGTGTGTGTGCACTCGCGCGCATGTGTGCCGCCCCCAGCGTAGGAGGCAGATCTTTATCTTGGCCCGGGGTGCTTGAGGAGTTTCAAGCTTTCTCATAAGCCTCATCTCTCTGCCTCTCCACCTCAGGCCTTGCCCCTCTATTCTCTGCACAGGAAGTGGGCTGGCCCTGGGCTTTTATAGCTGCAGCCTTCTCCTGGGCCAGAGCTGAGCAGGGCCCTGGGGAGATGGCCTCGGTCCCAGCAGCGGGGAGGACTGGAGAGCACGCGCTGCCACCGCCCCATGTCTCAGCCAGGTGATGCCCCCTCCTCCCTCCCGGCCCCTGTGGACCAGCCAGGGGGCTGGGAGTGAAGGTCACAGAGAGACTTTCAGCTCAGACTCAGTTCACCCAGTGGTTTCTGCCTGAACTCCCATCCCCCAACTTTATCTTAGAATTCCCCTGGGGAAGGAGTGGGGCCGGCTCTCAGGGCTCCTGGCTGGAGAAAAAACAAGTCCCCAGTCCCAGGTCACCCCTCCTTCCCAATCCACCCAGGGGAGGCTAGGGACTGCTATGGCATGAGGGGCTTCCCTGGGCCCTGTGTGCTGGGCCTCCAGCCTGGAGAGGTGGAGGAGCGGTGGGTGGATAGCCTGGGTGCCCTGAGAGGGTGCCAAGTACGGGGTGGGACAGGCGGGAGCCCCTCCTGCTCTCTGGAGTGGGGCCCGTATACTGGGAGAGGCATCTCTGTGTTGAGTGCTTATCAGGAGGCTTGTGGAGTGAGTGGGGAGGGGAGGGTCCCCTTGGAGAGCCTGCTGTGAAATGAAGTGTGCTGCGTGGCTTCCGTGAGCCCCAGGCTGGAGGCAGAGTCCTGAGTTTGAGTCTGGGTTTGTCCCTTCCTCGGCTGCATGAGTGGAAAGGTCAGTAGCATCTCCAGGCACTGGGGATGGGACCCCATCTTTGGGGCTGCCTCAAGCTCATGCTCTCTCCTCTCCTGGGGGCCGAAGCCTCCCACCCTTAACTGTGTTTGTAGTATCTCGGGGGACAGGGGTGTGGAGTGAGGGACTGAGCCATCCTCAAGGTCCCCTTCCTTCCTTCACAGCCAGGATCCCGCACCCAGCTGGGAAAGCCCCTGAAGTTCAATAGCAAGAGACAAACACAGTGTATGGGGCAGTGGGGTGGCAGGTGGAGGGGGCCAGAGGGGACGAGGGGACATGCGCCCCATCGAGTTCAGAGGTCAGGCGGGACGCACCACGGGCTCCCGAGCTTTACCACCCTGTCCAAGCCACCACGTACGCCTGATGGCAGCAAGGGCTCCAGACTGCATTGACCAGGTTCAAATCCCAGCTCTGCGCCCTTCTTGCCTGGGCGAGAGGCTGACCTGTGCCTCAGTCTTCTCATCTGGGAAAAAGGAGGAACACTGGAGCCTCCACATGGGGCTGCTGGGGGAGCTAAATGCTGAACTACCCCTGAGAGCTCAGGACAGAGATGGAGCGGGCACTAGTCCCTGTCCGCAGCAGCATCTCGCTGGCAATCAGATGGTGGGGTCAGCCACTCCGGGCTTCAGTTCTGGCATGGATCAAATTGGGAGGGGGAGGTGAGACCCACCTTGCAGGGTTGTGGTGAGGACATCGGCGTCCGTGGGTGTGACCAGTTTTGAGTCATGAGAGACAGGGCACGTGTGGCTGTGCCTGAGGACCTGGCGAGGGAGCTCTGGACTTGAGGCCCTGTGCTCCACTTGCTGTCACATGAGGCTGGGCTTCTCCTCGCAGTGCGACCTTGAGTGGGTTCCTTGGCCTCCCTGAGGCTCAGCTTCCCCTTTGCAGAATGAGGGTGCAGCCTCAGTGACTGCCAGGCACCCCCTCAGCTCTGAGCCCCTCTGGCACCCCCGCACTGTCCTTCCCTGGACTTTGCTCTGTCTGTGCATGGCTGCAGCCCAGGCAGCGGGAAGCAGACTGCAGAGGCACTTTCTCTGCTTGCCTGGCTGCCTCGAGGCTGGACCTGTGGTTTGTCCCTCATCTTCCTTTGACCTTGTGCCCCTTTGTCCCCCACCACCTTCCTCTCACCCTGGGGCTCTCCGAAGGTCCTGTCCTGGGCATGGGGTCATCCTGAGGCTGGGCCCTACCGGGGGCAATCAGGGGGACCCCCACACAAAACACTGGTGGTGCCCTTGCCTGAGGGCCAGGCTGGCGTGATTAAGCATGAAGGGGCACAGGGGCTGTGGGAGTCCGTCCCCTGGTTGGGCTCTTAGGGGCTGTGGGAGTCCCCTGGTTGGGCTCTGCACTCTTTGGGGTCCCAGCCTTGTGCCCTCTGCTACTGGGGGATCCCAAGAAAGAGGTGAGCAGCCTCCACCCTGGGGAGATCATGCTCCCATGGAGACGATGGGCCAGGCCAGGGCGAGCCCATGGTACCCAGGACATGCACCTGCCAGTCTGTCTGTGCCCTGCTGGGCCCTGACTCCCAGGGCAGGGAGGGTGGCAGCCTTACCTTTGGGACCAGTGTCTGGCAGGGTGGGACAGCATGAGGGGGTGAGCCTGGAATCCCTGCTCTGCCTCTTGCTATGTATGTGATCCTGGGCAAGTTAGGGGCTTGGAGTCTTAGCTTCCTCATCTGTGCAATGGGATAATAAAGCCATTGGGCAGCTTATGTGAGGCTGTTGGGCATATGTGAGGCACTTGGCCCCAGGCCTGGCACAGAGTAAGTGCTCAGTGCGTATGACGAGTATTAGTAGGTCACCAGTGTGTTTACTGTTGTGTGAGCTGTTGTGGTGGGAAGATACATACGGGGAGTTCCCGGGGGGAGAATCCCTGCCTGGGAGGTGGGCAGTCTGCCCTGGCTCAGATTCCGGAAGGGCATCTTATCCACTGCATGACCTTAGGCAATGTATTTCACCTCCATATGCCTCAGTTTCCTCATTGGAAAATGGAGATGATAAGAGTATCGCCACCAGAGGCCCTTATTGCAGCATTTAAAGAGATTTCAGTGGAGTCTGGCATACAGCAACCTGTCAGCCGATGGTTTTGGTGTGGTGAAGGGGGTGGCAAGCAGCGTGCAGGTGGGTTCTGATCCCAGCTCTGTGCTGGGCTCCTGATGTGACTGTTAGCAAGTCTGTTCCACTTCTGGACCTCAGTGTCCCCAAATATAGAACAAGGGACTGGGCTTGCTCAGAGAGCCTTTGCAGCTCTGACAATGTGTGGGCCTCGGACTCTCATTCCTGTGACATCTGCCTTAGGAGATGGAACCCATGGCTCTTGGGACCAGGGCGCATGTCCCTGCTCCACGCTGGCTACGACGTAAGCCGTGAGACAACCCAGGGCCACCCAAAGCGCTCTGCTTTTTTTTTTTTTGCAGTACTGAGGCCTCTGACCACACGCATTCATTTTACTGCATTTATTGAGCACCAACTGTGTACCAGGCCCTGTGCCCAGCAGTTCCTGGAGTGAGTGCCCTGCTGAGCCAACCCCTGGCCAATGCTGCCCTGCTGCTGCCAGCCTAGAGAAAGGAACAAGGCGCTCAGAGGGGCAAGACCTCATCCTCCATTGTGGAAATCAGGGAGGGCTTTGTGGGAAAAGGCATGAAGTGCTGTTTGAAATGGGTTTGAAGGATGGCAGGATCTGTAGGGGACCCAGGGAAAGGATACACTTGGGAAGGGCCTTTGGAGGACGAGCGTCGTTCTCCTGGCCACCTGGAGCCACTGGCTTTTGCAGGCGGGTAGGTGCAGTGTGTGTGTGCTTCTGCTTGGGCACCTGCCCCTGATTCTGTGAGGGCAGAGCCTGGAAGGGTTCGCTGATCTCGTCCCGGTCCCAGAAAGCCTCGAAAGCAGGAATTTGGGCTTTGGTTGCAACAGGGCCACTGCGGGTTTCTGGGCAGGGAGGCGGGTAGTTGGGCTTCAGGGAAGGCAGGTGACAGCCTGCTGATGGGGTGGTGCCATCACAGGGCTGGCCCGGTGAGGGTGAGGAAGAGACAGCAAGTTATCATTGGACTGTCCTCTTGTATATGGAGTGTCCTGGCTGGCTAGGTACGAGGACAAAGGTTCCCTGGAACAGGAAGGGTACAATTGTTCCAGAACTGAAAGTCAGACCGGAGAAGAGCTGGGGATGAGCTGGCTTTTTGCTGGGCACAGGAGCATCCCCTGTGAGGGGGTCCTGCAGACCATCGGGAGAGACGGAGGGGCTTGGGGCTGAGCTAGAGAAAGACCTTGGAAGCTGAGGGCTGAGGCCATTGAGAGACTGGGAGAGAGAAGAGAAGGGGAGTGAGAGCTCGAGGTAGGAGCCGCTGCAGAGGGAAGAGCAGGAGGCAGCAGAGCCCAGAGCCGAGGGGCCTTGGGAGCTCTCAGGATGAGAGAGCTCCTCCCCAGTTCTCCACTCATCTGCCCCTTTCCCCTCTGTCCCCGCCCCTCTGACTTGGGCCACCCTCGTCTTTCCCTGGAAGCCCCCCCCCCATCTCCCTGCCCCCCCCCCTTCGCCTGCTCCAACCAACTCTCCTGGCAGCAGTCCCCTCGCCTTCCCGAAGTGATGGAGTGCCTACTTTCATTCCCCTCCACACACCCAGCCCCTGCAGGGGGTGGGAGCAGCCACATTTCTTGGTTGGCCGTTTCCCCTGCGACAGTGGTGGTCGCCTCACCTGTGTGCTGAACGGAGCTTCCACGGTGGGCTAGGGGTTCCCTGAGAAGAGGCGCCGGCAGACACTGTTTCTTATTGGGCCTCAAATATGGGGGCCCCGGGAGGGGAGTCTGGGAGTCTCCTTGGCAGGAGAGCAGCATGTTGGCTGAAGCAGGAAGGTGGTTCCCCAGGCACCAAGGGCCATGGCGGCAGGCACTCCCGGGTGCAGATCCTGGATAATAGGAACAGGGAAGGTGACCTGGACTGATGCCTGTAAAGGCACCGGCCACCGGCCGCAGTGGCTCACGCCTGTAATCCCAGCACTTTGGGAGGCCGAGGCAGACGAATCACCTGAGGTTGGGAGTTCATAGACCAGCCTGACCAACATGGAGAAACCCTGTTTCTACCAAAAGTACAAAATTAGCCAGGGTGGTGGCAGGCACCTGTAATCCCACCTACTCAGGAGGCTGAGACAGGAGAATTGCTTGAACCTGGGAGGCGGAGGTTGTGGTGAGCTGAGATCGCACCATTGCACTCCAGCCTGGGCAACAAGAGTGAAACTCCGTCTCAATTAAAAACAAAACAAAACAAAACAAAAAGAGAAAGAAAAGAAAAAGCACCAGCCAGGGTCCGGTCTGTAATAGACACTCTGGGAAGCTTAGAGATTTCATGTCTCTTTCCTCCCTGGGGAATAACCTGGGTGATCAACCTGGTCTTGTGGTCTTGCCTCCAGGGAGCTTCCATGTAGCTCCCCTACCTAGGAGAGTACAAATGCGTACAAGGTCCTCCATAGAGGCTAGTGCCGCTGCGGCCCTCCGTACCTCAGTTTCCCCTGTTCTCTAGGGCTCCTCAGTCTTCAGGTCAGAGCTCTTATCTGCTTTTCCGCTTCTCCGAGTTCACGTCCCGATGCCTTCACACCATGGCCTCCACTCCCTTGGGGGAGAGCAAGGGGAAGAAGCAGGCGCTAGCCTCGGAGCCCTCTGGAAGCCCCTCTGCCTGCTGACTTTAGCTCGCTCTGTTTTTATTCCATCACTTGCTTGTTCAAGAATTTTTTTTTTTTGCCAGATGCCTACTATGTGCTGGGCGCTGTTCTAGGAATTGCTGACCTCGCAATGAACAAAACACAAAAATCCCTGTCCTCCGTGTGCTTATGTGCCTCTCTGTGTGTTTGTGAAGAGAGACAGAGGAAGACATAAATCAGTCAATAAACAACAAATAAATAGTGCCATGATGAAAATGTGGGGGTATGGTGAGTAGGGTGCTTCTTCACGCAGTCTAGTCAAGGAAGGCCTCTTGGAGGAGGCGGCAATGGAGCAGAAACTTGAAGGAAGGCTGTGAGCATGCGTGGGGCAGTGGGACGAGCAGGTACAAAGGCTCTGGGGCTGGACTGAGCTGGCACAGGGCAGTGCAGACCACGAATACTGAGGGGGCGGCCCAGCCTGCCTCTGGGGACAGCAAGGCCTGGGGTGTGTATTTACGTGGGCTCTCTCTCCCTCCTCTCCCCCAGGCCTTCCTTCCTCGGCTCCACCCTGTGGATGTAATGGCCGCCCCTGCTCTGTCCTGGTGTCTGCCCCTCCTCGCCCTCCTCCTGTCCCTGGCGACCCCTTGGGCATCCGCAGCGGTGAATGGTAAGGAGCCTGGCATCTGGACAGCTGTGCTTTCCCTAGGGGAGGTGGCTAAGGCCCTGCTGGAGCCTCTTCCCAGAAGGAAAGGAGGGAGAGGTGATGGGGCCACCTCCTGCCTCACCCTCTGTCCTGGACCCCTGCCCTGACACGTGTGCCCGAATGTAGACACGCACGCACGCGCGCACACACACACACACACACACACACACACGCCTCTCCAAGCCACAGGCACGTGCTGCTTTCTGTCCCTGCCCTGCCTTAGCTTGCCTATGGGAACTTGCAGGCTCTGGGGCTCCATTTCCTCTTCTCTAAAGTGGGCCCACGAGTTCCTTCTCCGCTAGTCAGAGTTACCCGCCTCCTCCTCCGGCAGATGTGGGGGCCAGGTACAGGGGCAGTGGGCATGCCTTGGGGGGCCATGGGCACTGCAGTCAGCACTCACACCTCCTCTTGCCCAACAGGCACCTCCCAGCTCACATGCTTCTACAACTCGAGAGCCAACATCTCCTGTGTCTGGAGCCAAGCCGAGGCTCTGCAGGACACCCCCTGCCAAGTCCAGGCCAGGCCGGACAAACGGTGAGCGTATCCTCCTGGCCGCACTGCGGAATCTTAGGATGGTGGGAGCTCAGAGTCTGGATCCTATGCATCGGACTCCAAGGAGTCCACATTTACAGGATCTTGCATTAATAGGACCCACAGACACTTTGAATCACAGGAGGTGGGACCCAGGCCCGGAATCAAGGGATCGTTTAAGAGACTTTGGGAGTCAGCTATTTAGACTTCTAGTACCTGGGTGGAGTCCAGGCTGCAGTGGAGGGGCTGGGGATGAACTAGACAGGGAGGTTTGGGGACACTGAGCTACAAGCCTGCTATGCCAAGGCTGGGCTCCACTCCGGAGGCAAGTGGAGAGGAAGTGGGGAGAAACGGGGTCCCCCAAGCATTTTGGGTAATCTCAGATTTTGAGAGACCCTGTGGGCAGCCGTGGGGACAGGGAACCTGGGAATGGCTGGGGTGCCTGGGGGCTGGGGGGACAGATGTCACTGTGATATAAACATCCAGGTGGCCGGTGAGGGACTGACCCCAGATAGGCTTGATAGGGTCAAGGAGAAGAGGAAGGCCACAGAGAGCGGCCTGGGCCCAGGTGGATCCCGTGGGGTGTTGGGTGGGGAAATTGGGAAGGGAGACAGAGGGCCAGGGTGGGTTAGGGTCCTGGCATCTGGGTGAGTGGTGACTCCACAGGGTTCTGAAGGCCTAATTAAGGAGCTGAGCCTCAGGGAGCTTCGGAGGGCTCTGGGTGGCAAGGACCGCCTGTGCTGATCTGGTTTGTTTCCAGATGACTGCAGGTGCCGTGGGACCAGGCTGGGGTGAGGGGCAGGACAGGCTCCTGTGCGGGAGGAATACTGGGAGTCAGAGAGGGAGGCAGTGCCCCTCATGGAGGTTGGCACAGGGGCCCCAGGCCGGTCTTGCTGCCTGGAGCCATCCTGGCAGCAGAGAGATCTGAGAAGGTCGCTTGGGCCAGCTCCGTGGGTCCTTCCTGTTCTTCTAAGGAGGTGCTTTTGCCTTGAAAGGCCGTGGAACCAAACCTGTGAGCTGCTCCCTGTGAGCCAGGCATCCCGGGCCTGCAGCCTCATCCTTGGACCCCCCGATGTGAGTAGACCACCCAGGGAGAGGGTGCAGGGAGAGGGTAGCCTCCCAGCTCCAGGCTGCAGTCTCAGGGTGGGCCTGATGCAGGGGAGGAGCTTGGGCCCAATGGCCGGGGCTGAGGCCAAGCAGAACGCCCAGCACAGAGGAGGAGGTGGAGAAAAACACGTGACACCCCAAAGCGTGGCCTCAGGGCTGCCCCGGGGCCAAGGGAACCTTCACCTGTGAGGCATCCGCCACTCTGCTTCTGCTCCTGCTGTCTCCCCAGCGCTTTGTGGGTCCTATGACACTTGTGTTCCTTATCAAGTAAGATGGTCCCCGGTAACTAATAATGACCACACCTGCTCTTCCCGGAGTCTCGGCGGCGCAGCGCAGTGTGGGGGTGAAGGCTGCATACTCAGGAGCTGGATGCTCCAGCCCTGACTCCCCCTTACACCCGCTGAGTGACACTGGGCAGCCCCTGTGCCCCACTTTCCCTTTCTGTAGAATGGGCATTATAATAGTACCTACTTGCTTGGGTCAAGGCCCAACAAAGGCTTTGTTGTTCAGGATCTCCCCAGCATGAAGGTGGGACCTTACCGGGGACCCTCCCCCTTCTGCCCAGGCTGCTTGGGCCAGGGGCACCTGCAGGCCAGTGCCAAGCTGTCCCCAGTGCCCCCTTGCCTTCTCAAAGTCCGGGGGGTAGAGGGGGCCGAGGCAGCCGGGGCCAGTGAGTCAGCGCTGCCCCGAGCTTGCGCATGTCTGGCCTGGCTGTGGCAGCGCCTGGGCTTGGCCTTGCTCTGAGATTGGAGTGGGCATGGGAGCAGGGAGAGGCCAGACAGTGGGAGCAGATGCCCCCAAGCCTGTGGGGGCAGCGAGGGTCCTCTTGGGGACCCCGAGAGCACAGAGATGCCTGGGTCCAGGCTTGGGCGCCACAGCTGCACCAGGGGAGCTCCTGGCTACTTTGGAAAGGGCAGGGGTCCTTCTTGTCCCCAACTTGCACTGGATCCATGGAGCGTGCAGCCCCGGCTGTGCCTCCAGGATGGGATCGGGCGCCAGAAGCAGGGAAGAGACCAGACAGTGGGAGCAGACACCTCTGAGCCTGCAGAGGCAGGGGGCATCTTCCCAGCCCCTGAGAGTGCAGGGACGCCTGGGTCCACAGCCACAACCTGGGCGGCTGCAGCTGTGCCAGGAGCGCAGGTCTCCTGACTACTCCCTGCTTGCAAGAGCACTTGGGTTTCTACCCGGGACCCTGAGAGTGCAGGGACACTTGACTCTGCAGCTGCGACTTGGGGGGATGCAGCCGCACCGGGGAGAGTGGGGGCTCCTGCCTGATTGCAGCCCCCAAGAGCACCAGGAGGTCGGGGTCCACAGCCAAGACTTAGGCAGCTGCAGCTGCGGCCGGGAGGGCAGGGCTCCTACCTGCTCCATGGAGCGGGAGGCCCCAGCTACACCTCCCTGCTGCAGCCAGTGTTTTAGCAGCAGTCACTCCAGAGAGGCAGCTGCTGCCATCACCTGCAACCCCATGGGTGAACATCAGCACTGTCCCCTTCTTACCAATGAAGACACAGGCTCAGAGAGGTATGGTCCCTGCCCAGGGTCACACAGCCAGGAAGTACAGAGCTGGGATCGAACCCAGGCCTGCGGGCTCTGGGCTTGGGCTTTTGACCATTGCATTAGGCTGCCTCCTCTTGCTTCTTTCTCAATACCTGGCCATGTCTGTGTTGGTGTACATCAAATTATTGTCGGTCAAAGCCTCTTGGGCAGCAGCGGGCTCTGAGGACACCCAGACCACATCTTCTACCACCATCGGGTTATATATATTCTGGAGGGGCAGGAGAGTGTGGAGATGGAGTCCCACAGTGGAGCTGATAAACTCACAGCCTCTGGAACCCGATGCTGTGTCCGGGCAGGGAGCTCTGTAGGTGGCCTGTTTCTGATCCTGGCTCCACTATTTCTTAGCTGTGTGATCTCAGGCAAGTCCCTAAGCCTCTCTGTGCTTCAGTCTTCTCAGCTATAGGATGGAAATAGTAACAGTACCTGTGCCCAAGGGTGTTGAGAGAATTAAATGAGATGATATATGTAAAGTGCTCTAAAGAGCACCTGGCACAGTCTGAGTGCTAAGGGGAATGTATGATTGGCAATATTTTTACAATGAAACTAGGAATAATGATGAGACTGTATTATCTGGGAAAATCCAGCCCCCAGAGCAGGTATAAGAAGGCTAGGACAGGATCTGTGGGGTGGAGAGGAACTGGCCAGTTTGGGGAATTCTAATGACCGGGTTTAAGGTTTGTTCATCGGGGGTCTTAACGCAGGTCAGAGGGACTGTGCCCACGGTCCTGGCCCTGAAATCGGCATCCTGGACCTCAGATCCGAACAGGCCTGCACGAATGCTTCTCAGATCCAGGCCTCTGGTCCAGATGTGGCTGTGGACCCAGGCGTCCCTGCACTCTCAGGCTCTGGGAAGATCCCCCCTGCCTCTGCAGGCTCGGAGGTGTCTGCTCCCATTGCCTGGACTCTTCCTTGCTTCTGGCACCCGATCCGATCCTGGAGACAGAGCCAGGCCTGCGTGATCGATGGATCCTGCACTAGACCTCCCCTAAGCCGCTCACTCGGCAGCCCTCTGTCAAGTGTGACGGGCCAGGACTCGGAGACGCAGTCATGCTGCAGGACACAGAGGGCCTGGGTTTAAACCTGGGCTCCCCTGCTGTCCAGCTGCATGACCTCAGGCAGGTCCCTTGACCAGCCCAAGCCTCAGGCTTCCCAGCCACACCGTGGGATGGATGCTGTGTGCGTTGAGGGGCTGGGGCATCTGAGCAGCGCCTGCTCACAGGAGATGCTCAACACCTGGCCGTTTTCTTCCAGAAAATTCAAATCGTTGGGATGGGGAGAGGTGGGGAAGGAGAGGGCCTTTCACACTCAAAAATGTTAAATAGGTACAATTCCAGACGTGTACCTTTGTGGTGACTCACCAGCTTGCACGCCTCCTGTGACAGGGAGCTCACTCCCTCTCAAGGTAGTTGGAGGTACCTCTCAAGGTAGCTCAAGACCTAACCTGATCATTTTAGATCAGGCTTTGGTAAACTACCTTGACCCACGGGCTACATCCAGCCCACCGCCTGTGTTTATAAATAAAGTTTTATTGGAACACGGCCCTGCTATTCATTTAGATGTTGTCTGTGTCTGCTTCACACTACAGTGGTAGAGTTGAGTCATCGTGACAGAGACCATGTGGCCTGTAAAGCCAAAAATAGTTGCTATATATGGCCTTTTATAGAAAACGTTTGCTGCCTCTGCCTTGGGTGGCGGGGTATGTGGAGAAGCTCCCGTCCTCCCCAGGCTATCCTGGTGGCCTCCCCTTCCCCCACCCCCAGCTGCCAGAAGCTTCACCTCTGCTCTCCTTCCCCTGCAGTCTCAGAAATTGACCTCAGCGGACATTGTCAACCTGAAGGTGATGTGCCGTGAAGGGGCGCGATGGAGGATGATGACCACTCAGGACTTCGAACCCTTTGAGAACTGTGAGTGAGGAAGCCAGGGTGGGGCTGGGGCAGGGCTGGCCACCCCCTTTCTCCCGCCTCCTCTGGGATCCTCCCTGCTCCAGCCTCTCTCCCCTGCAGCTTCCACACCTACATCTGTCCACCTCACTGCCCACTGTTCTCAGGATGAAGTCCTGGCTCCTTACCCTGGCATTCAAGGCTGCTCAGGCTCCAGCCCTGGGCCTCCTCCCTGGCACTCCCCCTCTTTCAGCCTGTATTTCTGCTACAACTAAAGGCCTGTCCTCCACACCCACCTTGCCTACCCATGCCTCTGAGCCCTTGCACATGCCAGTCCCACTGCCTGGAAGGCTCTTACACCTGGAAAATTCCCACTCATGCTTCAAGGCTTAGTCGAGGGCCACTTCCTCCAGGAGGCCTTCCTAGACTCCCCTAGCTCTTTGTACATCCTCTTTCAGGGACTGTCTGTCTCGGGTTGTCACTGCCTGATTGTAGGTCTGTCTCTTTCACTGGGCTGTGAGCACCCTGAGGGCAGAGTCTCTGCCACCCCTGTGTCTCCTTGCCAGGCACCCAGCGCTAGGTCTCGTCAGGACAGCGCTTTGGGAAGGTTTGTTGAATGCCCGAGTGCCTGCCTGCTGGCCTTGGGGGCCATATCCAGGGAAGCAGTGGGGTAGAAAGAGAGTCAGGCCTGAACTGGATGCGATCTGACTGGCAGACCGTCAGACCTGTCTGAGCCTGAGTTTTGGGGAGAATCGGAGACACCTACCCCAGAGGCTTATAAGGCATTTTTGAAACAAGACACAGAAACTGCTTACCATGTAGTCAGCACTCAACATCTGCTTATCACTTACGTGGTTCTACAGATCTCAGAAGTATAGAAACTGAGACTCACTTAACTTCAGAATCACACAGTGTTATAATCCTCACATTTCAAATAAGTGAGATGATCCAGGTAAAGCTCTCAGGTCACTTCTAAGTGCAGAGAAAAGCTGCCGTGAGCCGTTCATTCAGCAGATACTGAATCAAATACCAGGTAATATTCCAGGTGCCAAGGACACAGCAGACAACCAAGTCCCTGCCCTCAAGGAGCTCCCAGTCTGCTGGGGGAGACGGAAAGTGAATAAAGAAACCAAACCATCTATTTCGTAGGGCAGGTGATAATAAATGAACACTGGGAGTAAAGATTCAGCAGGCAAACAGGATGCCGAGCTGGGGTGCTCAGGGAGGGCTCCTCTGCAGGGGACCATTGAGAGGGTCCTGGAGGCAGGGAGGGAGCAGCCCCGGGGCTCTGGGCATGGGGGTGGTAGGACATGCCAGGAGGGGGGAGTGGCAGGTGCCAGGCTCGAGGTGGGGGTCATGCCTGGCGGCTCTTCCTTCCCCACTCTTGTCTCCAGTTCGCCTGATGGCCCCCATCTCCCTCCGAGTCGTCTACATGGGGACCCACGATTGCAACATAAGCTGGGAAATCTCCCAAGCCTCCCACTACTTCGAAAGAAAACTGGAGTCAGAGGCCCGGATGCTGTCCCCAGGCCGCACCTGGGAGGTGAGAATGTGGCCCAGTCCCCGGCTGCTCTGATTCCTCCTTCCTGTCCTGGTCCATGTCCTGTCCCTTTGTCATTTCGGCGAGATCCCATCAGCCTCAGGTGGACGGACGGTGAGTGACAGTCCAGTCCTGTGCTCTTTCTGCCCTGCCTGGGGCGGCCTCCCCTCCTTCCACGTCCCCTTATCTAGCCCCCTTAGCCCTGGGCATCCAGCTGGCAGCAGTTTCCAGGCTGACACCAGGGAAAGATTCAGACACCCAGGAGGCAGGCAGCTGCCCAGCCCCGTGGGCTTTCAGAGGCCCGGGAACCACCCTCCGTGCGTCAAAGCCCATCTGCTCCAGGTCCACGGGGATCTGTTGCTTATGCATTCACCTTATCCTCGCGTCTTTATTGACTCAATTGCTCACTCAACAAATATTTGCTGAGCACCTACTATGCGCTGGATGATGGGAGAGAGCGGAGGGTGAACCCGGCAAACTTCTGCTCTCAGAAATCTCACGCTGAGGCGGGGCAGGCCGGCAGTCAGCAGCCTCATCAACAGGCTCTGGGACGGTGACTGTATGGGGTAGTGACAAGTTCCGTCAGAAAACCAAGTGGGGCAAGGTATTTGAGAGTGACGGGCACAGGCTATTTGAGACTCAGGCGACCAGGGAAGGCCCCTCTGACACCGGGGGATCCAGAAGAGCTGGCCTGCAAAGATCTGGGGAGAGTTTGCAAACACGAGGACCTGCCCCGCAAAGACAGGATGGTGCTGTGTGTCTGGGGAGCGACACAGTGTGGCAGGGCTGTGAGGAGATGCCCTGCTGTCTGGTCCTCTGCAGAATAGACTGCAACAGGGCATGGGTAGAAATCAGAGAGCAGCTGTAGGCATGGGAGAGGGAGGCCGCTCAGGCCTGGGTGAGTGCAGCTGGGAGAGAAGTGGATGGTTCTGGAATGGCTCCGGGGTGGAACCAGGCTCTGGGGTTGGAACCGGGTTCTGGGGTTGGAACGAGACTCTGGAGGTAGAACCGGGTTCTGGGGGTGGAACGGGGCCCTGGGGGTGGAACCGGGTTCTGGGGGTGGAACGGGGCCCTGGAGGTGGAACCGGGTTCTGGGGGTGGCACCGGGTTCTGGGGGTGGAACGGGGCCCTGGGGGTGGAACCAGCTGATCAGCTTGACGCTCGGGCTTTAGGGGATGAACCTGGGGTTTGAGGCTCCAGCAACTGGGTAGTGAGGGGGCTTTGGGTGGGAAGGGAGTGGGGTGCAGCTGGCAGGGGGCAAGGAGGGTGCTTCGGTGCCCAGCCTTCTGGCCCTGCCATGGGAGGTGAGGTGGGCACTGACAGTCCTGTCTCTGCCCCAGGAGGCCTCCCTGCTGACCCTCAAGCAACAGCAGGAATGGATCGTCCTGGAGATGCTCACCCCAGACACCCACTATGAGCTTCAGGTGCGAGTCAGGCCTCTACGAGGCAAGTACACGACTTGGAGCCCCTGGAGCCAGCCCGTGACCTTCCGGACGAGGCCTGCAGGTACTGGCGGGCAGCAAGGGTGGGAGGGGGCTCAGGCAGGAGATGTAGGGCTGAGGGTCCCACAGGGTTGTCGGGTGAGCCTTATGCTGTGCTGAGGCGCAGGATCCGAGAAATAAAGAGACAGGACACAGAAGCACAAGGAAAACGCAGCTGGGCTCGGGGGGCCGTGCTGCCTATAAGCGGAGTCAGGCAAGGCCCCGAATGTCCAGAAGCATGAGTGTTTATTGTGTATAGGTTAGAGGGCAGGGCAGTGAGTGAAATCATTTTTAAGGTTAGTGATAGGGTCATGAGCAATAAAACATGGGGTCCACTCCCATTAGGTCACCTAGGCCAGGAGGTGGACAGCGCGCAGCAAGGGGCCCGTTCCCATGAAGGCAAGGGCCGTGTGCAGTAAGGGGTCCACCCCCATTAGGTCACTGAGGCTTGAAGGTGGGCTGTGCGCAGTGAAGAGCGTGCAGTGTGCAATACTTCTATCTATGGGCAAACTACTTCTAAGAAGATGTATAGGAGGATGCTTTAAGTCACACAGCAGTGACAGAGCTGTCAAGGTTACCACCACCTTCTGGCAGCTTCCAGTGGATTCTGTGGGAAGATGCTTTTCAAGCAGCACAGTAGCAAGAGCGGGTAAAGTTCGCAGTCACCAAGGTGGATTGCCGTTCCGAGGGCAGCCTGCCATGAGAACTGGAGCAATGTCCTACAACTCCTTTATCAGGAGGAGTGGCTCTCGCCCCAAGCCTGCCATACAGCGGGTGTCTTCATGATACTGAACGCTGCCGCCTGGGCCATGGATTCTTGTCCTGGTATAACTGTTTTTCCCTTAAATCATGCTCTGCACTGTATCTGCTCTAGACATTCTTCCGATTATAAGCTGCTTATCCCTTAATTCATGCTCTGTACTGTGTCCACTCTAGGCATCCCTCCAATTATGAACCAAGATATAATTATAGGTATGTATGTAGGGAAATACTCTTTAGGCACTCATACTATCAACTATTATATGGTTATATAGAGAGGATTACATAAAGGGAGACTTCAAGCCCTAATTCTATAAACTAATATATGATTATGTAAAGGATTATATAAAAGGAAATAGCTGAGTAGTAACACTATAAAGTGAGATATTCCTCAAGCCCTAACTGTGCCAGAGTTCTGCTTAGTCCTCATTCCTTGGTGCCTATATGGGGGGTTACCCACAGGAGGGGTGGCTGGGGATGGCCCTGGGGGCAGCTGGGAGAGAAGCTGCTCCATTCGCTCCCTGCCTGGGGTGAGGGTACAGCGGTCAGCTCCATCCCTCACTTGCTGTAACCCTGCAGGGGGCCGGGTTTTCAGACAGGAATGAGATTCAGTGAGGGGACCGTGGTTGCCATGGGCCCTGTGAGTTGGGGAGGGGTAGAAAAGCTCTTTTCACTTCTCTCCAACCTGAAATGTCAAATGCCTGGTTTCTGCCGGGGCTGGGGGTGGCTGCTTTCACCTCTCGGCCCCATCTGTGAAATGGGTACAGTGACAGCGAGGCAGGCCTGCTGTGAGGCAGGTGTACGAGGCCCCGGGAGCCTGGACCTCAGCAGGTTTGCTGCCGCCTGTCCCTCATTGCATCACATTTTGAGTTCAAGTACAAGCAAGACCTGGGGTCCTCTAAGTGGTGCTTGGAGGGAGGGGGAGGGAGGGGCGCAGCCAGGCAGAGCCCAGGCTGCCGTGGGGGTGGTGGGTGGCTGTGGGCTTGCCAGGTGGGCCCATGGGATCCGTCTGGAGCTGAAGGAGCTCTTGGAAGGCCACCGTGTCATTTCTTTTTAGCATCAAATCTGGCTTCCCAGAGAGGACAGGCTTAGCAGAACTCTGTCTGCCCCCAGCTCCCTAGACGCAGGCCTGCCTGGCAGGGCCCTGGACCGGGTGTTGGAGTGACCCAGGGTGAGTGGGGGCGCTTCTCTAATCCCTCTCCTTGCTGTTTCTCCCGCCGCTGGGCAGCCCCTGGGAAGGACACCCTCCCTTGGCCCGGCCACCTCCTTGTGGGCGTCAGCGGGGCCTGTGGCTTCATCCTCTTGGTCTACTTGCTGGTCAACTGCAGGAACACCAGACCATGGTAAGAAGGTTCTCTTCCCCTTCCTTTGTGCTCCCACCCCAACACACACACACATACATGCACACACAAGCACACATGCACACACCCCCCATGAACACGCACATGCACATGCACACACATGTACACATACACACTCCCGCCCCAGCATGCACACACGTGCACGCACACATGCATGCACAGGCAATCACATGCACACCCATACACTCTCACCCCAACACATACACACACACTACACACATGCACATGCACACACACACATGTACACACACATGTACACGCACACATGCCACCCTGCCGGGTCGGATTCTGGACGGCCCCCTGTCCAAAACCTGGCCTTTCCCTGTGTCCGGTCCCCACAGGGGAAACCTGTGGAACCAGCCCGAGGGGAAGGTAGGAAGTGCAGCCCTCCAGGGAGCGCCCCCGGGGTCCTGTTCAGAGCACTGTTCTCAGGACTGGAGGTGCCCGTGTGCCTGTGTCCGGGTCCCCGCCGGTCCATCTCAGTCTGACTGCCGTTGGCTTATTCCCATACCCACTGAGCACCAGCTGCGTGCCGGGTGCCGCTCAGTGTGCTGGGAATGGTGCAGGCCGTAGGCGTGGGCCCCAGCTCCGTGCAGCCCACAGCCCAGAGGGGAAGGCAGATAATCACGCAGGCGTGTAACAACACATCGGGGTCAGGATGGCAGAGGAGGGTGCCGACGTGTGGCCGTCCCTCGGGATCCGTGGGGAAGTGGTTCCAGGCCCCGCCCCTCCTGCCGATACCAAAGCTGGTGGCTGCTCACTAAAGTCCCTGAAGTTTTTTTCTTTTTGGTGGGGTGCTGCTCTCTGGACCCCCGTCCTGGACCGGTGGTTATTAGCAGTGTTCAGAGCCCGTCTCCCCTTTCCTCACAAGAAGACAGGCATCCTCCACCCACCCGTCGCCTCCCCCAGCTCCCTGCAGGCTTTCAAGGGAAACGATATCCCTGCAGGGCGAGAGGTCCTCTTCCAGGCAGGGGTTCAGTGGCCTCCAGACCGCCCTCCTCCTTGCCATTCTTGCGTCCCTTCAGTCGTTTCTTGACCACGTCATTCTCCTGTTTAATGCTCTTCAGAGGCTGCCTGCTGCACCGAAGTACACCCCGGCCCTTCAGAGCCTCCACCAGCCATGTGGAACCTTTATGCAACTAAAAAATGGTGCATCTTTCTTCCAGGCACTCAGCTTGGCAAGCAGGACGTGGGCTCGAATTCAGCCTCACTCACCACCACCTCTCCTACTCCCTGCCCAAGCCTAATGCCGTTGGGCAATACACAACCTGAACCACCATCCATGGCAGCCCTGACAAGGAAGCTTCTCTCTTCTCTCCCTCCTTCTGGTTCACTCCACTTTTTCTGGACTCCTCCCTCCCTGACTCTCTCTCTGGTGGGTGTGTTTGCCCCCACGGACCCCCACCTCTCCATCTCATGTAGCACCCCGTTCTCTGTCTCCACGGAACGAACACATGCTTTGTATCTGTCTCCCCGTCCGAATGTCAGCTCCTTGAGAGCAGGGACCTCCTTTGCTGGCCATTCTTGCCTCCTCAGCACCCAACACAATGTCCTCCCGCAGTGAGCACTCCGTCGGTATCGGCAGAATGCATACAGAAGTAAATGTGGCTCTGTACCCTGCTTCCGGAGCTGTGGCGCTGACAGCAGGAAGCCATGGCCCTTCCCATTCTCACCCTCCTTCCCTCCTCTCCTCTGTCCAGGCTGAAGAAGGTCCTGAAATGTCACATCCCAGACCCCTCGAAGTTCTTTTCCCAGCTGAGCTCAGAGCATGGAGGAGATCTCCAGGTAGGAGGCCGGGGCAGGGAGGCAGAGGAGGACAGGGGTGTGAGTGGGACGAGGGGGTGGCAAGGGAGTAGCTAATTTTGTGTTTTTCCAGAGGGGACAAAACGCTGAAGTGAGCAGCCTCCTGGGTGGGCATGGGTCTTTTCTCTATCTCTGGCACTTTCTGTCTGAGCTGGACCTCCTGGGTTCTAATCCCAGCTCCACCACTTTCTGGTTGCATGACTTTGGGGCAGCTGTGGAGCCTTTCTGGTCCTCAGTTTCCTCACCTGTTAGATGGGGAGAAAAACAGTGCTATTATGTGTCCTGCCCTGAGAACATGGGCCGGTGCACAGTAAGTGTTCCAAAGGACCCTATCTGGTATTAGCGTTGCCAGTCTGCTGAATGAACAGAACCTGTCAGTGTGGGCTCTCTCTACCCTACGGTCTGTGCAGACATGTCCTGTGCCCTGTGCTTCTCCTGTCCCTGCCCAAAATTCCTGAGCAGGCTCCGTAACTTAGCTCAGATGCTAACAAGTCTTCCGGTCACTTTGAGTCACAAAACACCGACCTCACTTTTTTTTTGAGACGGAGTCTCACTTTGTCACCAGGCTGGGGTGCAGTGGCGTGATCTCAGCTCACTGCAACCTCCGCCTCCCAGGTTCAAGCGATTCTCCTGCCTCAGCCTCCTGAGTAGCTGGGATTACAGGGACACACCACCACGCTCAGCTAATTTTTCTGCTTTTAGCAAAGATAGGGTTTCACCATTGGCCAGGCTGGTCTCGAACTCCTGACTTCAGGTGATCCACCCACCTTGGCCTCCCCAAGTGCTGGGATTACAGGCATGAGCCACCGCACCTGGCCATTACTTGCAGTACTCTTGGAGTGCAGAAATGTATCTCCTTAAAATTCTTCCCCCAGCCTTGAAAGGTAGCAAGATTCCCATCTGTAAGGTACTCAAGCAAGCCATGACTGCCTGTGTGTCAGAAGCATGGTGGAAGAGATTCCCCAGTGAGCCGGTTGGAGGCTGGACTAGCTTAGCTGCGTGCTCAGATTCTCTCCGGCTTCAAGTCCTGATTTTATGGGCCTAGGACACTGGGAGGTGGGAGGGTCCAATTCCAGCTGAGGGCATCCTGGGTCTAGAATCCTGCCTGGGCCTAGTGTGTGGATCGCACTGGGAGGAAGGCACGATGTGGCTGGGGGTTGGGGCTGGCCAAGCGGGCCCCACTTCTTCTGCATCTGGGTGAGAGACCTACCCCTATCCTCTCTACCCTAGGGCCCACAGAGGCCACCAAGCCCACCCTCCGCTTCCCAGGGGATCCTGGAATGTGCGTGCAAGTGTGGGAGTGTGTGTGACGGGCACGAGCTTCTCCTGAAGCGGCCTTCAAGGCATTGTGGGCAGAGGACAGGCCCGGGAAGTGGCTGGCTGCAGGCAGTGGGCCTGGCTCTCTGGCGCTGGCCACAGGCCTGGCCAGTGCCTCTCTGGCTGCTCACTCGCGGCTGCGGCGCGGCCCGGCCCTGCCATAGCCCCAGGTATCATGAACCTCCCCTGACCCATGCTTTTTCCTCTCTGCCCAGCCAGCGACTCCTCTTTGCCATCCTCAGTTGACCCTTTCTGTCCCTCTCGGCCTTTTCTTTTGTGACATAACTCCCGGTTGTGGGAAGGGGGCAGATTTAATTGAGTGATGTGCGCATGCGTGTACATGTGTGCATGCATGTGAGTCTGTGTGTGTGTGTGTGTGTGTGTGTGTGTGTGTCTGTGAAGCAGTTGGTTCAGCCTCAGGGACTCCCCCTGGAAAGGAGAACTGGGCATTCACTGCTGGTTCATTAATTCATCTGAAATAGATCCATGAGACCTGCCAGCCCCGCGCTGGGCACAGAGTGCTGGAGAGCCCGTCGGGCCTGGCCCCTCTGCTTAGGGGGCCATAGTCCAGCTGCTGAGGGCTCCCGGGACAGAGGGTTGGCAGTACCCTCAACTCACCCACCCGAGGCCCTGCCACATCACTGTCCCCACGCTGCTGTACAGTCTGCATCTTACCCCGTTTCGGGTGTTTACATCTCCATTTGCTTACCTGACGTCTCCCTGGTGACCTGATGGGTGACAGCGAGGAAGTCAGGAGAGATGTGGCTAACTGTTGTGGAAACTGAGGCTAAGAAAGGTGCAGGAGCCCGCCCAAGGTCACGCAGTCCGTGAGTGCCAGGGCCAGGGCTAGAACCCAGGTCTCCCCACTCCTTGCCAAGGCTCTCTGGATTCCTGAGCAACTGAGAAATGCTCTGATGGGCACTTTCCTCTCCCTGTGTGGGGACGGGATGGAAGGCAGAGGGAGTGGGGGCTGCAGGGAACTGAGGGGGAGGCGAATTAGGAAACCATCAGCTCCCCCCAGAGACATTCCCACCACAGTGTGAGCGGGGACCCTGGGTCCTTGATGGGGCCAGGGCATGTCCCTCTCTGGGCATCTGTAAGGTGAACAGGCTGTGCTTTCAGTGCCCTTCTGCTTTGGCACGGGTGGATCGATTCACACACTTGTGCTCGTGCCCGCTGGCCAGTCTGAGGACTCTCTCCTTGCTGTGTCCCCAGCATCTAAAACAGTGCCAGGCTCACTGCAAGTGCTCAATAAACAGTCACTCTTGAGCAAGTCAATATTCCTGGGCACGACTGGGAGCCAGGCAGGCCTGTGCTGGGCTGTGGGTCAGGCAGTCTCCCTGGGCGGGTGACCCAGAGGGCTCCCCAAGCCAGTGGGTGGGTTGGGGGAGTGCAGAGCTACAGTCAGGGAGGGCTTCCTGGAGGAGGCAACCCTGGGCCAACTGCTTCAGGAGGATGAGTCGTCAGGAGCTGTTGAGAGTCCAGAGGATGGCGTGGAGGGTGAAGGACGCCCCAACTTACCCACCCCTGGCCTTTCTCCGACCAGAAGTGGCTTTCCTCGCCCTTCCCCTCATCGTCCTTCAGCCCTGGCAGCCTGACGCCTGAGATCTCGCCGCTGGAAGTGCTGGAGAGCGACAAGGTGACGCAGCTGCTCCTGCAGCAGGCCAAGGCGCCCGAGCCCGCACCCTCAGGCAGCAAGCGCTCGCTGACCAGCTGCTTCACCAACCAGGGCTACTTCTTCTTCCGCCTCCCGGACGCCCTGGAGATCGAGGCCTGCCAGGTGTACTTCACTTACGACCCCTGCACGGAGGAGGAGCCTGATGAGGGTGGGGCCGGGGCGCCCACAGGGTCGTCCTCCCATCCGCTGTGGCCTCTGTCAGGGGAGGACGATGCCTACTGCACCTTCCCCCCGGGGGATGACCTGCTGCTCTTCTCCCCCAGTCTCCTCAGTGGCCCCAGCCCCCCAAACACTGCCCTTGGGAGCAGCGGGGCCAGTGAAGAAAGGCTGCCCCCTTCCTTGCAGGAGAGAGTCCCCAGAGATTGGGACCCCCAGCCCCTGAGGCCTCCCACCCCAGGAGTCCCAGACCTGGTGGATTTTCGGCCACCCGCAGAGCTGGTGCTGCGAGAGGCAGGGGAGGAGGTCCCTGACCCTGGCCACAGAGAGAGGGCTGATTTCCCCTGGGCCAGTCCTCCTGGGCAGAGCCAGGTCAGGGTCCTTAACTGTCGCCTGCCTCTGAACACCGATGCCTACTTGTCCCTCCAAGAACTCCAAGATCAGGACCCAGGTCACTTGGTGTAGACAGATGGCCAGGGTGGGAGGCAGGCAGCTGCCTTCTCTGTGCCGGGCCTGAGCGGGGGCCTGTTGAGGGCTCTGTGCCCAAGCCTAGTCCACTGCTGAGGACACTCAGTGTCCAGGTGCCTCTGGACGCCTCCACCCAGCTGGCCCCACCGCTGCACACTTGGCTCATCCATTTCCAAACCTCCATGGCTGCTCCCTGGTCCCGCTGCCCCAGCTGGGAACTGTGTGTGTTGCTGGGGGAGGTAACTCCTCAATTCCCTCTTCAATCACCCAGTCCCACGAGTTTAGTCTCTGAAGCATCGCCCCTCTCTAGCCCTGCGGCTATTCCCCATCAGTCCCCAAAGCTCTCCAGGGCTCCTTGCCCACCTCTTCCCTGGGTTTTCCACCCCAGCCTCCTCCCTTCCCTCCCCCTCCATAGAGCAGCCTGAGCATGCTTTCCAAAACCCAAATATGGCTATGCTCCTCCCTGGTTCAAAAATCTTGCATGGCTCCCGCTGCCATCAGCCCCGCTCCTCAGCCTGGCACCTGCACCTCCGCATCATGTGAGGACAGTCCCTTCAGCAACCCTCCCTACAGTTCTGAGCTGCTCAGAGCTCCCGCACACCCCCTCTGTCACACCTGCTATTCCCTGAGCCTGCTGTGCCCTCCCCCTCACCTAGGTGACAAACTCCCCTGGAGGGAAACACTGCCTCCCTTAATCTGCCAGAAATTTCTAACGTCAGTGCTGCAGGGCGAAGCTGGCGGGGACCCAGGGCGACTGGAGAAAGAGGCCCTGTCACTTGGGATCTCTGAGACCTCAGAGTACCTGGCTGCTGCCTCCTTCATGCTGGGCCCCAAGTATGGGCACAGGTCCCCCCACAAGGTAGATGCCTGCTGCGTCTTCCCACAGTGGCTTCACAGACCCACAGGAGAAGCTGCTGGAGAATAAACCCTGGGGTCCGAGGCCCAGGCAGCAGCCCCTCCTAGTGCTGGGCCTTGATGCTGCCAGTCCTGGGACCTCCCAGTCCCCCCGCCACTGGAGGGGTCTTCTCTGCAGCTCTGCAGGGGTTGGCACACTGGTCTCAAAAGGGCAGCTCCACAGGACAGGGTCTCGTTATCTTTTCACTGTCCTGGACACAGTGCCCAGCACCCCATCGTATACCTTGGATGGACACATGAATTACCTGGCGCCACCTCATCTGGGCTCCCTGCGCCTGACATTCACACAGACAGGCAAAGTCCCATGCCCATGAGGTCCGGCATGCCTCCTTCTGCAAGGGACGCATCCGCACACCTCACAGTCTTCCCCCTCTCACACAACTGGCCCCTTCCTTCTCATACTCCGCCCCTCCCCGCCCCGCCCCGCCCCTCCCCTCCCCTCCCCTCCCCTCCCCTTATCTTTCCTCTGCCCGAGGCAGATCGCATTGCGCCTGCACTAATAGGCCCTGCTCACAGCTGATTGGGCACTTGACCACATGTCCCCATAGGCTGAGCAGTAGCCTATGAGGGGGCTTGGCACCAAGCTCTGTCCAATCAGGTAGGCCGGGCCTGAACTAGCCAAACAGATCATCTCTGCCTTGGGCATTTGAACTCAGGGAGGGAGCCCCCTGGGATCAGGCGCTTGCGGACTAAGCTACCTGGAGAAGGTGGACAAGAATTGAGCCACTGAGCAGAGGACCTTGGGCTCCCAATAGAAAAATACCTACTGCCGAGAGGGCTGCTGACCATTTGGTCGGGATTCCTGTTGCCTTTATATCCAAAATAAATTCCCCTTTCTTGAGGTTGTCTGAGTCTTGGGTCTGTGCCTTGGGAAGAGCTTATTCACAGGACAGTCTCACCTCCTGCTGTAGGGTCCTGCATGTTCCAGACCACAGGGAGCGCCACACCTTTGCTGTGTGTCCTGGGCAACCTACTAAACCTCTCTACAAGTCAGTTTCCTCATCCCCCAAAGGGAAATTGTATGTGCCTGCTCCGGGAGGCTCCCACGTCTTGGGAGGGTTACAGTTTTTAAGTGTTAGTCATTTGTGATCTTAATAATCTATACATCGGTATCTTCTAATGATCTGTGTGTGCTATCTTTGTGATTATTTTCTTAATACTTTTTCTTGAAGTCAATTCATTGTTTGTTAAAATACATTTATTTAAAGAAAAATATATTACTCTGTAAATGAAAAGAAAACGATTTTCACTATGAATAAAAGGTAACTGTACAAAGTAAGTACAATGCAAGAAAATAGTGTTGATGTTCATTGCCTGAAAGTCTGTTTTCGCTTAAAGGGGAAAATTAGAAGCAGCTGGGAAGCTGCTGAAGGAATTCCAGGGCCAAATGCAAACTTCCTACTTGAGAGAAAGGAATAGGATTGTAAGTAAAGGGAATAGCTTTTTCACGAATAGGAGTCAGGTGTGTCTTATTCTGTGTTTAGGCGTCATCTCGTGGCCATATCCCACAAGGCTATGCCTGGGGAAGTGTTGCACTAGATGACAGATCTCTCTCTCTCTCCCCAGGTAAATAGATAAATAGGTAGATGGATAGAGCCCTGATGAAAGTTGGACCAGATCGTGGATGGCAATTTCTGGCATTTATAAAGCCATACTCATAGCAGACATTGCTAATCAATTGCACCCATGTGTGGCAGACATTTGTAATCAACCACAGCCCTCTTGCAGAGCCTGGGTACAGCTTTGGAGTCTGCGATATGGTGCTATAGGCAGCCTCATCAGCTGATATCTGATGACATCTCTGGACCACACAATTCCTCAGCTTCCTAAAACAAAAGGAGCTCTCATGTTTCCCAACTCCGACTTCCCAGGCAGGGAAAACTAAGGCTGAGAGGATGGAGACTGGAAAGCTGAGAGGGACCTGCGAGAGGCAAGCCCAGGGAACCCAGCTGTCCCTGCCATGCCTGGTGAGAGAGTTGAGCTGGCAGGGAGCAGAGTCAGGGCCACCTTACACCAGGTGCAGATGGAGGGGTGGGCCAACGGTCACTGTGTGTCATGTCCAGTGTGGGGCCGAGTGTGGATCTTAGGTGAGGAGACAAAGAGGAAGCAGCTGGCGGTGGGGGTGGTGATTAGATCACAAGAGGGGCCTGGGTCAGATTCAGGAGAGAGAAATAGCACCAGCTGGCGGCCAGGCAGCGTCCGCTGGGGGCCTGAAGAACCGTCAGGTGCAGAGCAGGGAGCACGAGGCATCGGTAAGAGGAAAAGGAGGAGAGGTGTTGGGGGCGGCTTCCAGGCTCTCGTGTTTTCTCTTTGTTGAATTAGGTCTGTTCCTTGCTTCCCCCATTCCCCCACCTTCCGTCCTTCATTCAAGCAACTTCTGGTGCCTGAATTTCCAAAGTAAATTATGGGGGAAACGAAACTGTAGGCCCAGTCTAGGATGAATCACCCACCACTGTCCTCATCACTGACAGCTGTAAAGCAGACCAAAAAGCACAGTAAGAAGAGGCAAGAGCACATAGTTGTTCTACACATTGTGCCAGTGTGGTCTGAGCGTCGTCTTTCATCGCCTGGGAACAACCTGAGAAGCAGGAGCTTCGCTCCCCACTTTGCCAAGGAGGAAACAGAGGCCCAGGAAGGTGGAGAAACGCAGCCCATGGTGCGTAGCGCTGGAATTGAAACCCAGGTACATTTGACTCCAGAGATTCTGGTCCTTAGCATATAGAAGGCTACACAGGAGATGATTATGTGAATGGGAAAATACCTAGTAAATTTCATTCTCAGCTTCCTGACAGTCAGCCGAGGGGAAAAAAGCCAAAAAGATACCACCACCCGTACCTGTGATTGTGGGAGAAAAAGCAAAGCCATTTGATAGCTTGGTAGGTAGATGGGGCTGAACGGCGGCCAAGAGAGGAGGCTGAGGGCAAAGCAGGTTGGTCAGGCTGAGGTGGCCTTTCTCCCTCCTCCTCCTCTGTAACTGAGCCCCTCCTGCTGCCCCCACACCCCCAAGCTGACCCAGTGTCCCTCTGGGCTAGCATTTCACTGGCTACTCCCATCCCGATCCTGGTGACGCCCATGGCACAGACCTGACACCCTCACCCCTTGCTCGTGTTCCTGCTCAGTCTCCTCCTTGGTCTGCCTGACCCCACGGCTGCCTGCCTCTCAGATCCTTCCACCTCTGAGCCCTGCCAGGCTGACCTGGCTAAGGGTCATATCTGGCCACACCACACCTGTGCTAAATCTCCAGTGACCCACTGTGATTTTCAGGAGAATGGCTGAGGTCCTTAATGTGATCATCTATGACCTGGGGGACTTTGGGGGAGGTCCCATCTGCTCTTATGCCTCTGTTGCCCCATCTGTTAATTGGGCAGGCCGATTGGATTGGATGATTGCTTTTTTTCTTTTCTTTTTCTCTTTCTTTCTTTTTTTTTTTTTTTTTTGAGATGGAGTTTTGCTCTTGTTAACCAGACTGGAATGCAATGGCATGATCTCAGCTCACCACAACCTCTGCCCCCTGGGTTCAAGCGATTCTCCTGACTCAGCCTCCTGAGTAGCTGGGACTCCAGGCGCATGCCACCATACCCAACAAATTTTTTTGTATTTTTAGGAGAGATGGAATGTCTCCATTTTGGCGGGGATGGTCTTGAACTCCCGACCTCAGGTGATTGGCCCACTTCGGCCTCCCAAAGTGCTGGGATTACAGGTGTAAGCACTGCACCTGGCCCGGATGGTTTCAATGTGCTCTCCTAGCCCTGATAGTCTGTGGTTCCAGGTGCCACATGGAATATGGCTTGAGACCTGGGCTCCATGTATTTTATGTCAAGAGTTGGCGCTGGGGTTGGGGAGTGGGGATGAGAGCAGCGACTGCAGCTGCCCCATTTGCCTTGGCACCTGCTAATCCGAGTTTTCAGTAGCCCAAACAGTCTGCCCTCGGGCTCCCATGCATCCCTCAGAATCCCACTCAAGCATCTCTGCTTCTGGAGACCCTCTGATTTGCCCCCAAGCAGAGTAGGTCACTTCCTCCTACTGTCCCCCTCCTGAGCTACCTCTGTTCTAACCAGCTGTTGTGCTGTGCGTCAGACCCTGGGCTCGATTCTGGGGACATAAGGGTGATACTAATAGCTTTGGAAGAACATCGGGCAGAGCCCTGTTAGCACAAGCCGTTAGTTAGAAAAGCCAGGCACAAGAAGCCTCTGAAGGGACCTTCTAATTGGGGAAGGAGCGGGGAATGTTGGCTTGCGCTTTGGCAAGGGAGCTCAGCTGAGACTCAGCTGGTTTCAGATGTAGTTGGTTGAGGATGGCGTTTCAAAGAAAGAGGAATTATTCTTGCAGATTAGTAGCCACTCTTTGACGATTTGGGTTTTATCAACAGGTGGGGTAGTGGGGTGGGGAGGGACAGCTTTGGCGTCAAGGATCCGTGAGAGCCACTGTGGAATGTTCTTGGTCCCTCAAGATCTCTTCAAGAACTGCATGTATGGAGCACTTAGAGGCGCCAGACTCTGTTCTAAGCACATTGTGTTATTAACTCGCTGGATCCTTAAAAGAATGCCATGAGGGAGGTACGATTCTTAGCCCATTTTATAGCTAGGCCTGTGGCCCAGCGTGGTCAAGTGACTTGCCCACAATCACACAGCCAGAATGCAGTGAAGCAAGGGGTTAGACCCTGGCAATATTTAGCGCTCACATGGCACAGCTCCTCACCGCTTTTAAAGTGTGAGCACCCCAGATGTCCTCTACAATCACACAGTGACCCAGCAAGACAGGAATGACAGAGCTTCTGAGTCCTGTTCAGCTGTTGAGACCCAGAGGCCCTGAGGGGGAGATGCTGCTGTGTCCCAGGCCACACAGTGCGTTTGGCAGTGGGGGAGGGAGTGTTGCTTACATCTGAGCTCACCACCGGCACCTGTGACGGGCCTGGGACATCCCCTAGGCTGACTTGCTCAGAGATTTTCCACCACCCTTGCTATTACACACTCGAGGCTCCCATCATAGAGCCTGGCAGGAAGCACTGAGTGGTGAGAGACGCAGGTCGGGTGGTGGTTGGTGTGTGTGGAGGGTGGGGGTGGTGTGCCCAGTCTGCGATTCCAGGAAGCCAGGATGCAGAGGGAGGGAGGAGCAGAGCTGGCAGGAGGTTTCTCATCTTCCATTCCTCTATTGACCTGGCCTCACACAGGGCAGTGGCCATAGAGAGGAGGCTGGCTATAGCTCTGTCCACAAAGAGCCTCCAGCGTTGTCTGGGAGTGGGGAGTGACCCTGGAGGACACAGACAAGTCGACCAGCAGTCACAGCCCTCCCTCGGTGGGAAGAAAATCAACCTGGTCCTGTGTGCACAAACTGTGGTCAGGAAATGGTGCCATGAACACCCCGGTGGAGCCTTCT